TATGTACATGAACGGGTGCTGCTTGTAGGGACTATTCTGCTCTGATTATGACTAATTTTGTATAAATTTATTTTTATTTTAATATTTATATTTCTTTCTTTCTTTCCAAGAATCCTTTCTGAACAATTAGGAATGAGTGGTAGAATAACAATAATATGACCAACCAAAAGTGCTTATGTTTAGTTTATTTGAATCGAGTCGAGTTCTATTTCTATTTCTCGTATACAAAATTGTACTAGGACGATGTTGCCACTCTGCAACTAATATCAATTTACAAACAAACCAGGGTATCCTACTCCAACATTAAAAATCATGTTTTCACACACACACACACACACACACATACGTACGGAGGCATAATGGCCATTTTTATTACCTGCGATTTTGTGCATTTGCTCATGATTGATCTGCATAGAAAAAGTATTCTATGTTTGTCTTCTAATAAAACGTTCCTTACTTTCAAAGACTTAAACACCATTCCAACCCTTTGGCCACAACTCTCTTGGACTCCAAGGATTACGTATGCAGGCTGAAAAGGTCTGGCTCCAATTTAACACAGCTGATGTATATAAAAGGAGTTCCTAAGAATGTCCTTAAATTTTTGTCGTCTGGGACAAGAATGGAAGGAGGGTCTAGGTAGCGAACTCTGAAAAGGGCGAGCACAATAGATCTATGTAGGTCGCAGTGCTACAGGTCCACGCACCTGACAATGGCAGCCCTAACAAAAACAACCAAATGAAAAAAAAAATATAAACGGAGCGACCACATGACTGCATGAGGTAACTCAAAGCAACAGATAACGAAAGTTATAAAATCTAATAAAAGGTAATAGGCTGATTGCCGATAGATAACGAAAATGGAAAAAAATAAATATATTTCATTCCAAATTTTATGTATATGACAAATTTGATGATATTTCATAATTTAAGAGCTGTGCTCTTGTCGGTGGAGCTCCCGCCACCTTCCACGATCTTCCATCAGTCCTTTTAGCTGTTGATACGACACGACTCCAACTTTTTCTTTAACTTGCTTGATATAGCTGTGTCTTGGTATTCCCCTTCCTTGTTTCCATCTATATTTCCTTCAATAATGTTGTTAATTAGTTCGTCGTGTCGTATCAAGTGCCCCAAAATTTTCCCCCGCCTATTCTCAATAATATCTATGATCTGTCTCTTTTCTTTAATCCTCTCAAGCACTTCTTCATTCCTGATGATATTTAGTGATGCTATTAAGCTGTGAATTAAATGAATAACTCGATGGAATGGGATTGTTGGTCATGTGGACAAATGACACTATTACTAGCAATGTACCATGTCAGGTTGACGTCCATGCGGTTCCCTCTGAAAACCATCGTGATAAATTCCTGGTGAGTTTACCACGATGGGATAGCTAAAGACATGCCCTGATCTCATGCTCATCTTATCATCCTCGACTGGTGCTCCGCCAGCGTAAACCGTCAGTGCAGGTAGGTGTACCATTCCATTAATGTCTGTTAAAAAAAACTCGTTCTCCCAAGTTGCTTTTAAATCATATTGACAGTCATCTTGTATTTAATTACCTACCAGAATCATCAAGTTACGCATTAGGAACAAATAGATTTAGCGCTAAAAATACCTGTGAATCATAGATGATATGTGCCGTGTTTTTCAAAATACATTCGTAATGAACGTCTCAGTTCTCAGTTTCCTTATTACCAGCGGCGTGTTATGTATTTATTGAAGCCGTTATAAAAATAAATAATTTCATTTCATTTTATTGATGTGTAACACATTTGACGGCCTCGATGGTTAGCCCGATGGTGTCGGGTTCGATTCCTCGCCCGGCACATTTGTATTCATGAGTATGATTGTTTGTATCGATATACCATGTTGATAATTACAAAAAAAATGTATTTGTGTCAGTTATCTAGTACCTATAACATAAGCTTTAGCTAGCTTAACAGGAGTCTAGATGGCGTTATGTGAATTGTCCTGAGATTATTATTATTATAACGGGTGCTGCTTATAGAGATTTGTCTGCTCTAATAACTATGTCTGATTTATTTTGTTACTCAAATAACTCTTGATTTCTTTATAGCAACTTTGCTATTTGATAGTTTGTATTAATACAAAATGCTTAACAATGTAATACTAAAAAAACATATATTTAAAAGAGCTACACCCAAATTTCATGCGGCAGTTAGTATTCACAGACAGTTCTTAAAAATTTTATTCTGTACAACATTAATTTATAAGAGCAACACGGAAGTTGCTTGCTCATTCTTCTTGTTTACATTTTGAATGAATGGTAGAATAAGAAAATATGACAATTCAAAAGTGCTTATATTAAGTTTATCTGAATAAAGATTGTTTCTATTTCTAATGTTACGCTATACCATTTCAATGAGATTACGCCACGATGGGCTAACTGGCCTGACCTCATGATGACCCTATCACCCTCCACTGGTGCTCCGCCAGCGTAATCTGTCAGCATAGGCGGGTGCACTGTTCTGTTGTCTAATAACAACGAATTATGTTTTCAGGTGCATTATTTTAATATTACTAGCTACTCGCCCCGGCTTCGCCCGGGTGTACATGTATTATATATATATATAAACTTTCCTCTTGAATCACTCTATCTATTAAAATAAACCGCTTTAAAATCCGTTGCGTAGTTTTAAAGATTTAAGCATACATATGGTATTATTGTAAACATGTACAACATTTATTTAGTAAAGAATACGAGCTGAGTTTCTCGTCAGTTCTCATCTCGAAATCATTCCGAACTGACGGTATATTTGACATATCATAAGAGTCTTTAATAGACCTACATGAATATAGATATTTTGAATTTGAATGTGACGATATGTGATTTTGGACGGAGAGACAGCGACAGCGACTTTGTTTTTTTGTAATGATTTCGATTCAATACTATGTTACTATTTTTTTTTCAGACAAGAATCGTTAGTACATTTTCTTTACTTTTTCTTTCGGGTGCACCATTCCATTGTGGCCCATAAAAAAACCTTATTGCGCCTTACAAATATCTTCCTTTCGGGTTCCATTGTAGTCCATAAAAAAACCTTATTGCGTCTTACAAATATCTTCCTTTCGGGTTCCATTGTGGTCCATAAAAAAACCTTATTGCGTCTTACAAATATCTTCCTTTCGGGTTCCATTGTGGTCCATAAAAAAACCTTATTGCGCCTTACAAGTATCTTCCTTTCGGGTTCCATTGTGGTCCATAAAAAACCTTATTGCGTCTTACAAATATCTTCCTTTCGGGTTCCATTGTGGTCCATAAAAAAACCTTATTGCGTCTTACAAATATCTTCCTTTCGGGTTCCATTGTGGTCCATAAAAAAACCTTATTGCGTCTTACAAATATCTTCCTTTCGGGTTCCATTGTGGTCCATAAAAAAACCTTATTGCGCCTTACAAGTATCTTCCTTTCGGGTTCCATTGTGGTCCATAAAAAAAACCTTATTGCGTCTTACAAATATCTTCCTTTCGGGTTCCATTGTGGTCCATAAAAAAACCTTATTGCGCCTTACAAGTATCTTCCTTTCGGGTTCCATTGTGGTCCATAAAAAAAACCTTATTGCGTCTTACAAATATCTTCCTTTCGGGTTCCATTGTGGTCCATAAAAAAACCTTATTGCGTCTTACAAATATCTAGAATAGAATAGAATAGAAAATCATTTATTCAAATAAACTTACATTGAAGCACTTTTGAATAGTCATTACATTTTTTAATCTACCGCTCGTTCGGAAAGCTGTCTCATCACTAGAGGAACGAGCAAGAATCTTCCTTTCGGGTTCCATTGTGGTCCATAAAAAAACCTTATTGCGTCTTACAAATATCTCATTAAGTTTTTAATTTTCAAGTAATTTTGTTTATCACGCGTATAAAGACGCAGACGTCGTGTAAATGATAACAATTTTATATTTGCGTGATACCCTTTGCCATTTTGTTCCAATAATACGGGGATTCGTATATTTAGATGTAGATACACTTGTCTATTTATGTAATGTTTGTACTGTGGAATGATTTAAACAGCAATAAACATTAAGCGGAAAATTACTATTAATATATTACATAGTAACAAATAAAACAGATCTTGTTGGAACGCGCCTAGCTCTGGAACTGCCAGATGGATTTGAGAAAATCATTTCATTTCATTCATGTAGGACATCTTAGCCGCTTATGAACGGAAAAATTTTTACGTTATAATTATAATGTTTTCCTTACCGTCCAGTTGAGTATATAGATCCAATTGAGAAGAACTGGCAAGAAACTCAATTGAATTAGTTTTTTTTTTAAAGGCAGTTTATTTACAATAAATATTTATATAGGTGTCTATGTCTAATATTTTATATTTCATAGGCTAATTTTTAAGAAAGATATTTATAGACATCTATAACATCACGCTACGTCCTTTAGGAGCTGGCCAAAAAGAATGAAGCGCAAAGATTCAAATTAAAAAGGAAGTCAGTTCTTTTTATATATATATATATATATATATATATTTACTAAAACTTTATAAATAGGGGTTGATGATAGAATTAGAAGAAAAAAAATAGAAACAAAAAATTTTGTCTAAATAATAAAAAAAAAATTTACGAGTGGACTACCCCTAACATTTAGGGGGATGAAAAATAGATGTTGGCCGATTCTCAGACCTACTCAATACGCTCACAAAATTTCATGAGAATCGGTCAAGCCGTTTCGGAGGAGTATGGGAACGAAAACTGTGACACGAGAATTTTATATATAAGTATAAGATATAAAAATAAGTTTCCACACAAAATATATGTAGTCTCACACATGTTAATTGTAGTGGAATTAAATAAAATAATATAAATCCATTAAGTAGTGTAATGGACTTCCACAAAATAACACCCAATTCAATTAAATATATAAAAATAAGTATTGTATAGTTTTTGTGACTAAAGCTGTATAGAGGTTATTCTGTAGATTTTATATGCAAATAAAAATAAAAGTAATGTGTTTGTTCGCAGGTGACGATATGGATTCTAGTTATATATTTGACGCTACATTTGCCGTCCATTGAAATGAGAGTAGACGACTTAGAGCAGCCAGTACACAGACAGGTAAATACTTTTATTACTATACTAGCGATCATTGTAGTAGCTGTGACGCTCAGAAATAAGCTCAAAGTCACTCAGAGGGCAATGGAGAGGGTGCTCGGAGTTTCTCTGTGTGATCGTATCAGAAAAGAAATCTGCAGAAGAACCAAAGTGACGTAAGTGAGTGAATTGCGAAATTGAAGTGGCAATCGGTATGCCACATAGCTCGTAGGACAGATGGCCGTTGGAGCAGTATAGTTCTTGAGTGGCCACTGCTGACCGGAAGACGCAGCGTGGGAAGGCCTCCGATAAGGTGGACCGACGAACTGGTCAAGATCGCTATAAAGTGTTGGATGCGAGTAGCGCAGGATCGACCGTCGTGGAGACTTTTGGTGGAGGCCTTTGTTCAACAGTAGACGTCTTCGGGGCTGAAATGATGATGATAATTATGATTAGTTATCACTGCTTAAGTTAACACATATACAAACAAACAAAATATATAATAAAAATAATAAAATTTCTGAATGGTTACGTTTAACGATGTTGTTTCTAAATCTTCTTTATCTATGTTTTATAAAGAAGATTCCGAACCATACGTATACAACCACATGTATTATTTATCTGTACATAGTATAAATTGAAGTCACTTTGATCTTTTAAACTACGCAACGGATTGTAATGCAGTTTTTAGCTAAAGATAGTGTGATTCAAAAGGAAGGTTTATATATATTCGACGATCTCGGTGGTCTAGCGGTCTAGCATACAACTTTACGACCGATGGTCGCGGATTCGATTCCTCGTACGGCACAACCATTTGTATTCATGGGTATGATTGTTTGTATCGGTCTGGGTGTTTTCTATGTATAATATGTAGGTACAAAAAAAAAAATATCTATGTATATGTATCAGTTATCTAGTACCCATAACATAAGCTTTAGGTAGCTTAACTTGGGGCTAGATGGTGCTGTGTGAATTGTCCTGAGATTATTATTATTATATGTTATACATGTACACCCGTGCAAAGCCGTATGTAGGTATTTACGTAAAAAAATATCTACGTATTTATATCAGTTGTCTAGTAACATCAGCTTTGTTTAGGCTGTGACTAGATGGCGCTGTGTGTGATAAATTTAATTTTAAATTAAAAGGGACCGAAACCAGTACAGCATCAGCCACCAGCCTCTACGCAGAAGCCGAAGACAGTGAGCCAGGCTCACTTGAAGAGAGGGAAGTGCTTCCACATGTCCCGCTCCCAGTGCCCACCAGAACGCGGCACATGCGCCAGGGTCGGAGACGCGTCTGTCTTCTGCTGCGACCTGGACAGCATCAGCCTGAAAGATGCCTTAGCAAACACAAGTTAGTATTCTTTTTTCTTGGAATTAATAATAATAATAATAATAATCTAATCTGTGCAAAGCTGATCTTTAATATCGGTCTTTAATACCGCACTTTGCTCAATAATTTTTTTCAAACTTATAAATTAAAAAATCATTTATTCATGTAGGACATTTTAGCCGCTTATGAACGTATTTTTTTTTTATATTATAGTTTTTCCCTACCGTCCAGTTCAGTATATAGGATCCAATTGAGAAGAACTGGCAAGAAACTCAATTTATATTATTTTCTTAATAAGTCATTTTATTTACAATGTGTATTTATATAGGTGTCTATGTCTAACATTAAATGAAAATCCCGTGCATGAACAATTATAGCCATGCACGCTCGTCATTCAAGTAATCGTTTAGTGAGTAATAGGCTTTGCTCAGTAAATATGATTTAACACATATTTTGAATTTGGTATACCGTATCTTATTGCAAATTTTTATACCCATTCTCATAAAAGACCTATTGACTTTTCTAAACGATACTTAGAAACAGCAAGTTTGTCTTTAAATCTAGTATTAATATTATGATTATTGCTGTTTTTTTTAAATAAGTGAAGATTTTGTTAGTGTATTTGAGTATATAAATTGAGAAGCAACGGTGAGAATATTTGCCTCTTTGAATTTCTCTCTTAATGAGTCACGACTCTTCATACAGTAGATCGCTCGAATGGCACATTTTTGTAATATGAATATATTTTTAATATCTGCCGCTTTTCCCCATAGTAATATTCCATAAGAGAGTAAACTATGAAAATAACTAAAATAGACTAATCTAGCAGTATCAGTATCAGTGTACTATCTAACCTTACTTTAATAATAACTATAACAATGAATAGACATATATAAATATATATACATACAAAAATATTACATAACTCGTTAATATAACGTCTACACACATATGAATGAATGAAACTCTATATTGCTCCTCTCACAGAAAATACAATTACATACACAATTATGTAATTATAAAATGATAAAAAAACAATAATAAACAAGACAAAGACTTAATAATGGGCGGCCTTATTGTTAAAAAGCGATCTCTTCCAGGTAACCTTAGGATAGAGCGAAGTGATTAGATTTGCGTCTGGTAGAGGTGTAATAATGGTAACAATATTGGAAGAAATGTTATAAATTATAACATAATACAATTCTGAGGAATTATTCGGATTAATACCAGCTGCTGAGTTTCACCACCGTACCACCCGACAGAAACTGAAATAACATCCTGATCATCTGGATGAATGGCGGTCTTCCACAGTGCGGTTTTCTAGAAACTTTTTGCCTCGCACAACCACATTGTGGAATCATCTTCCAGCAATGGTATTTCTGAAACCTTCAAGAAAAGAGCTTATTTCTTTTTAAAAGTCCGGCAACGCACTTGCAATTCCCTGGTGTTGCGGGTTACTCATGGGCGGCGGTAATCACTTACCATCAGCAGAGCCGCAAGCTCGTTTGTCCCCTATGTTATAAAAAAAAGTACAATACAATAATATAATATACTTACATATACATACATATATATGAATATATATACAATCATGCATACATACGACACATATATATTTGCGAGCAACTAATATAATACAGTAATGTACATATATGGCTATTCAGCAACATAATTGCTAGAAACACACGTTGTGTAACATGCTGCAGGTATTGTGCATTCGTAATGCATTCCTGAGCGGCGCACGCGCAGCCCACACTAGGGCTACCACCTCTTCATTTTAAATCCGAGACAAATTATCTTTGATTTTGAAATTCTGCTATCTGTTTATGTCTGGAATTAACAAAGTTATGAGAAGATGTTCACCTTGTACTCTATCTAACAAAATATAAAACTATTAAGAAAAATATTGCCCACGTCAAAAATTAGAGGAGAATTTCATTAACCGACATCAAAAAAAAAATTCCATGTACTTTTTTATCTCGATTTTGTGCCGAGAAACTGGAGATATTCATGTTCAATTAACACTCAATTATAGGACATACCCGATTTTGTGAGACAGGTGGTAACTCTAGTTCATAAGCGAGCGTTGCATACGACTACATACAGAGTAGTTAGGTTATAGAATAACGCGGCGCAGGGAAATTTGATGCATGACACGTCTAATTTTTTTTTCAACCTTTTATTTGTTTCACAGTTTCTTTTTAACGTATATATTTTGATTTATTTTAATTCTTAGGCTCCCGCTGCAATTTGATACAGGGGAAGTTTTTAATAGAAGTTTTCACTGTAGGGATATATATTATATTATACATAGTTTCATAATTACACATATATTATACATAAAATATTATATTAAAGCATATAATAGATTTAATATTTCAATATAAAATTTAATCATAAAAAGTTCTCGCATGTATGTAGTGTACACTTTTGTATTGTTAATCTGTTTTAACTTATAAATAACACTTTTAGCCAACGTTTAAATTAACGGCCGATACGTAATTGATATAAAGGTGAAGATACGCGGTCGTGTTATATCGTGCACCTACATGGTCTAACAGGGGGTAAGTCAGGTCAGGTCGACCTCCACGTGGTTCCCCCAGGAAACCATCGTAGTTAATTTTTAGTAAATTTGCCACGATGGGCTAACTGACCTGGCACAATGCTCATTCTATCATCCTCCACTGGTGTCCCGCCAGCGTATACCGTTAGTGCAAGCGGGTGTGCCATTCCATTATCTTCCATAAAAAAAATCCTCTGGTATTACGGGTGGGCATGGGCGTCGGTAATTACTTACTATCAGGTGCCGCACGCACGTTTGTTCCCTGTGCTGTAAAAAAATCACTAGGAATTTATCACAACGTCAGGTCAAGTCTTCAGGGAGAAACGCATCAAACTGACATTGTACGTTACTAGTAATAAGTTTATCAGTCCACACAACATGGTCTAACAATATTAAGCGAGGAAAATAATAATCATCATCATCAGCCCACTGCAGTCCACTGCTAGACATAGGCCTCTCCCAAGGTACGCCACTGGGCACGATCTTCAGCCCTTCTCATCCAGTTACTACCCGCAACCCTACGTATGTCGCTCCAATAATGAACAAATAGAATTAGAATAGAATAGAAATAGAATAGAAAAACATTTTTTCAAATAAACTTAATTTAAGCACTATTGAAAAGTCACCAATTTTTTTTAATCTACCGCTTATTCGGAAAGCTGTCTCATCACAAGAAGAATAAGCAAGAAACTTGTGTGTTGCTCTTTTAAACAATCCTTGTAAGTTCACATTTTACAAGTTGAAACGTGTGAATACAAACTACCAAGCAGCACCGATTTATTTAGGCTGAAATATAAAAACATAATAAGATTATTCCTTTTTAAAAGGCCGACAACGTACTTGCAATTCCCCTGGTGTTGCGGGTGCTCATGGGCGGCGGTAATCACTTACCATCAAAAAAAGAGCAACACACAAGTTTCTTGCTCATTCTTCTTGTGATGAATCTGCATTCCGAATGAGTGGTAGAATCAAAATATGACTATTCAAAAGTGCTTGTAATGAGTTTATTTGAATAAAGATTATTTCTATTTCTATTTCTATTTCTATTTCATCAGGTGAGCCGCATGCTCGTTTGTCCTCTGTTATAAAAAAAAAATGTCTTTTAACACTTGTACCAAGCAGCACCGATTTATTTAGGCTGAAATATAAAAACATAATAAGATTATTCCTTTTTAAAAGGCCGACAACGTACTTGCAATTCCCCTGGTGTTGCGGGTGCTCATGGGCGGCGGTAATCACTTACCATCAAAAAAAAGAGCAACACACAAGTTTCTTGCTCATTCTTCTTGTGATGAATCTGCATTCCGAATGAGTGGTAGAATCAAAATATGACTATTCAAAAGTGCTTGTAATGAGTTTATTTGAATAAAGATTATTTCTATTTCTATTTCTATTTCATCAGGTGAGCAGCATGCTCGTTTGTCCTCTGTTATAAAAAAAAAATGTCTTTTAACACTTGTGGCGCCAGAGCTCAGCTGTGGTGTATCTTAATTATCAACAAATGGTCTGATGTGATCTCACGCCGCCAAATGTTTCTCATGAGTACAAATATTTATATTGCCAATGTGGACCAGCTGATACCTATACATATAAATAAAATTGGAGTGTCTGTTTGTAATATTGAAATAACCGTTTTTTTACATGCATATGAATATAAATATAACATTTTTTACAATTTTTGTCTGTCTGTCTGTTCTGGCTGGACCGATTTTCACGAGACATTTTTGGCAGGTAGCTGATGTAATAAAGAGTAACTTAGGCTACGTTCTTCTTTTTTAGAATAATAATGTTAAATTCCAAGCGGACACTCCAATTTTATTTATATGTATAGATGAGAAGCCCTTTAAATATCACTAGCAATACTAATTTTGACCAGCGATGAGTGTGTTCTTTCATAGTCAAAACATTTATTCATTATTATGAAAATGGTTATAACCGACAAACAAAGAGCCGACCGAACAAAGAGGTAAGTATTTTGGGAGCTTACTCGTTTTGACATCCGTCTCTCTTAGTTCACCAACTGTGGTCGTCGTTATACATTATTTTCACCGATAAAACAGGAAATCGTTTTTTCATATAACTAGCTTTTGCTCGCGGCTTTACTCGCGTTAAGAAGTATTATTATTAATTAGGTTTAGTATCATTATGTGGCTGCTTCAGTTGTGATAAACTAGATAATATTGTATAATCTTTTTTTATTATAATATTCGAGGTTTTCTCACGAGACTACAGCATGGGGTTTTTCAATAAGGGTATATTAAGGTTTCTTAAGGGTCGGCAACGCGCACGTGACACCCCTGGTGCTTCAGGCGTTCATAGGCTACTGTAACCATTTTCCATCAAATGGGCCGTATGCTTGTTTACCACCATAGGATAATAAAAAAAAAGAGTGCTATCTTGTATTCACACATTTCAACATAAAAATTTCAATTTACAATATTAATTTCGATCAACACTC